TAATGAAGCCAATTATATTTATATCCATGAATGAACACAATTGCAGCAAGCTAGGCAAGAGAGCGTACAGAAAGAAACAAGTAGACAAAAAAGAAGAGCATTTTTACCATTTTGTCCAATCTCATTGCCCAATAACACCAAAATGAGTTTTGCTGCTAACTTAAGAAGAGAAGAGAGGACAAAAAAACTAAGAGAATATCAAGAATCCGATCCCCCGTGTTTTTTCCACCCGACGAGCATTGAGATGCATCTCTTGACGATGTAGAATTTGGCCTTTTGCTCCTTGCACTTGCGCGTGAACTCCGAGCACCTCTGAGAGGAGCTCCGGTGAAGGCCTCCGGCGGAGGAGCTACCGCTTTTCTGGGACAAGCTTCTCGGGAGATAATTCGAAGGGTTCTTTCCCGACGAAGAAGAAGACTTTGATCTCGACATCTTGTTTTTGTCGTCTTTCGACACTTTCCATTTTTCGTCCATGTAGTACTCCATCAAAATTAAAATAAAATAAACCCTCTTTGATTTTGTTATTACAATTCACAAACTTTTTTTTTTTTTGTGTGTGTGTGTGTTTTGAGAGAGAGAGAGAGAGGGGGAGAGATAGAGAGAGAGAGAGATTTGTTATAAGTTTGTGTAATGAAATTGGTGGGGTGCAAGAATTTATAGTGATTTATTAATAAATGTTTGTGTTTCTATGAGTGAATCGGTGAAAAGAGTTTTTTATTTTTTTATTTTTTTTGGTGTGCAAGTGGTGTGGTTTGTTGACGACTGTTTGATTTGCAGCATCACATGTGGATGATTGAGCAAAATGGTCAGAATTTGCTCCTTACTTTATCATTTGCAGGCAAATTCTGTGCTGGATCTGGTTTTCTATAGGACCCAGCACACTCTTTCTCATATATATGCTGCTGCCCTACAATTTCCCCCCTTTTTTTTTCTATTTTCTTTTTAATTTTATTAGTTGATTGTCTACTTTCATGGGATTTAGTAATTATGAATTTTATTTTTATTGATTTTTCATGTGACATACATATATAGCTAGCTAGAACGTTCGGTTAAACAGACCGGTTCAAATGGCAGCTCGGTGAGAAACGTCGAAGATCGAGATGAGGTCAATGATGCAGATGGTTTAGATCGAGTTAAGGTTCTTGAATAACTTGATAATAAGAGTCGGCCAGAGAAATTGGAGAATTGAGGTTTTTTATGACTAAAAGACCTATTAAGGTACCATTATCGGATATATACTAACAAAAATTTGCTCTAATTTAATGGGATATTTGTGTGTGTCATTAAGGTATTATTGTGTGCTTTGCATGTAAATAAGTAATTATGATTTTTTTTAATTGATATTTCATGTGATATAGCTAGCCAGAATAGTTCGGATAAACAGACCAGTTCACATGGCAGTTCGGTGAGAAATGTCAAAGGTCGTGAGATTGGTTTAATTCGAGTTAGGGTTCTTGGATAACTTGATAATATGAGTCAACCAAACAAATTGGGGAATTGAGATTTTTTTAAAAAGAAAAGACCTATTAAAGTAACGTTATCGGATATATATTAACGAAAATTCACACTAATTTCACTTGGGAAGAAGGTAAATCACTAAATTGTCCATATAAATACATTCTCAAACTGTATGAAAAATAATTCATGCTAGAATATTCCAAATTCTCTAGTTCATGCTAAAATATTCCAAATTCTCTAAAGTCAATTCAATTAACTTGAGAGTTGAGAGTTAGAAGTTTATATAGCCGGAATTTTTCCGGTGATATTACAAATTGTGGAAGCCGGTTCGTGTTCGATTGACCGATTCATAAAGTATAGAATGAATCAATGTTGGAATTTTTTATTTTGATGTAAATCGGCTGGCTAAGAGCACCCACAATGCTTTGGGTCTCTTTTTGTATATGTGGCATATAATTGGACTTGAGTCTTAAATGATGTGGACAAACTCAAGTAAAAAACTTCAATAACTTTGCAATGCAAAAATAAAAATACTAGGTTTAACATATATGTCAACCAATAAAAATGATCTAATATGTTTTTTTTATTAAAAGAAAAATTAAAGTAGGAATAAATTATTAGTGTTTGGGTTTGTACTTGGGTCCAAAATAGACCCAAGTGTGGACTTAGTCTCTTTTTTTTATTGCCACATAAACTAGACCATGTTCACTTTTAATTGC